GTTAATAGTCGGATCCCACTATAACGCAGTTATATGAGTAACGGGGGTTTCTGGCTGATTCTCGTCTATGAAATGTTAACCCTACACAATGCAATATTGGAAAAGGAAATATAATAATAATTAACATACATTTTTTTTTCTGAATGGTTTTATATAGGAAAAATACAAGAATCGTTTCTCCGTCCGGCCCCTTCGCAAACACAAATTCTCAGCTCTCATTAGTAATTACGCGCATGTTCTTTCTATTCATTATTATCAAATCATATTAAATATAAGCAGAAGTTCTCTTTTAAAAGTCATACACATGGTGAAATATGGTGTAGATGACGGACACCACATTATTCATTGAATAGATATATAATAAACAAATAAAAATACAAGGACAGTCTGGCCCCTGGTGAAAGCACAGGGTTCCAACCAATCAAACAGCACGTCTGCCCGGTCTGAACCAATCAGTGAGCGGCGTCTGCTAGGCCAGCTGTGTGTGCAGGGCGCTGTGTGTGGGGTGGCAGGACTACGACTTTAAAAGGGATAAATTCGTCGAAAGTTCTATTGCCATCTTTTGGAAAGCGAACAGCAGGTGTGTGTTTGTGGACCTACTGCTTGGCTAGCATCTATTATTCAACTTTGCTGACGCAGTAATTATTGCTTCGTGCAACGTAGGTAATTTCGTTTTTTGGTTGAGTTCAGTTATTTTTGGATGAGAATATGATATGGCATTTGAAGATACCTTCTCGTCATCGTTACTAACACACATCGGGGGGTTTTCGCCCTCATCTTAGTTTATTTTTAAGCACAGCTCGCCTTAGTTTAAAGAGACTTTAAAAGATATTGGACGGAATAGAGTAATTGTTACGTTTGAAGCCTGTAGAAAATTTGTTCATAGCCGTACGCAGCCCTTTTTCATGGCGGCTGCTTCCGTAGTCAGATCTTTAGCTCTTGAATTTAAGGCTGTGCGATATCATTGAAGTGTGCACACATTATCGTTTTAATTTTTAAGTTGAACAGTTTGTACTGCCAAGGAAGATAATCCTGTAGACATTTTTTATTCATTCGTTTATTATATATTTTTTTTTAATGGACAACTCCTATACATGATTGTATGGAGCTGGACTGTTCGGTCTTTTGGCCTCTAGAATTTGAACCATATGAATCTTTATTGTCTTACTGTTAAATTGTGTATAAAGTATGATTATACAGTTTCCACTATAAACGATTTTCCAGATCATGGGACGAAATGTTTTGGTTGGAATTAGCTCGCTTCTCTCTGTCAGATTATCTTTGGCTTCAGAAATGTGCACCAGTCTGCATGAACTGATTTACGATGCTCCTAGTGGATTGCCAGGTGCACCCGCACTGACTCTGCTAAATAATGCTGCCGTTGGCTTTTTTTTTTTTTAACATCAGTGGTTCTCGAATTGCTAAGATCAGGGGACTGCCATGGAACCATACTTTCTGATTGTCTTATTGAAGAACTTATTATAATTTATGATTATTACTATTAGATTTGTTAGAAAAAGGACTGCATATTATATTTGGGAGTTATTTTGGGTGTTTATAATTTATGTTAATCAAGTCAGTGATTGATAATAATATCACAGACCCCTTAACATGTGTTCTAATCCCCCTCTAAATGGGAAAACACTCTTCTAGAGTAATTTTTCAACCAAACAGAAGTAAGGACAAACCCTAATGGAGATAAACAGTTAAAAAAAATCTCTTGCCTTGTTTGACAAACATTAATAAAGATTAAAAATTTTTTTTTTTTTTTTCAATCTTTGCCGGGTCTGCACTGCCAGAACATAATGCTTTCAGGTTGCATTTCCTCTTCCTAGGATAAGCCTAATACCCTCCTGGGTAGGACCTTCCCCAATACACTGCTTTGTCTGAAGCCTTTGGCACAATGTGGGATGTCAGGTTTGGTATACGCCAACCGAAACATTTGATGTTAACAGAAGACAGGTATTACCTGTTACTTTTACACTGTAGCTCACTCAGTTGAACACTTAGTCTTAACAAATGGGTTACAAGCAGCAGTGTAGTTATTGCACTAAGCAGCGTAGGATAGTACTGTAACATTATATTGAATAGTATCTTAACTTATAATGTATTTAATACGTTTTTAAGTGGTCCATGGCAAAGCTTTGAAAATAAGAGTAGTTCACAGGCCTTAGCTAATTGGGAACTTTTGGCTTAAAATGTATGGTAGCCTTACATTTCCCACCCAACAGAATTATCTGCTCTAGGACTACCTTTATATCCAGGAGATTGACGGAAAACCATTATTCTTGAACTGTAACTTGTACAATAGTAAGCACAGTACCAGTGAATGATTTCATAGCACATCAAAGATTCAAATGGTTCGGTCATCTGGTCAGAATGCAACAAAATAAGCCAGCAGCTGAAAAGTACTACCTGAGAACACCAGGCTCAAGACAAGAGGCTGTCGGAAAAAGAGGTGTGGCAAGGAAGTAAAAGAGATACTACAGAAATGCAGTATGACATTTAACAGAAGCTACACAACTAACAGTAGACAGGAAACTACATATAACTCCTCTCTGTGATGCTTTGTGACATAACTAGTAGAAGCAACTTGTACCACACATTAAGAAGAAGAAGAAAATCATCCTTGATAATAGTGTTATCGCAGTAGAAATCATGATGATTGTGCTATTGATTAGACATTCCATTTCTAGCCATGCTTAGTGTGTCTAGTTTATAAAGTGGAAAAGGAGGGGAGGGGGTGAGTTTGTGTGGAAATAGCTTCCACTTAACATCTGCTTGGAGAATTGCCACATTTGCTGATTTTTTTTCTTTGGTATAATTACTCTGCAGTTTTAATGTTTATTGATTTTAACAGACAGTGAGGAGTTATGAAACACTTTGATTTATCAAAATGCGTCTTGAGCTAAAAAGAAGTTTCTGGAAGTAATATGCTAGAGGGTGTATCAGATGTGATTTGAGTATTTTTTTTTTTTTAAAGCAGAAATTTCCTGATAAGCTTGTTCCAAGGTGTCCTATCCTTTACGGTTGCGTACAGCTGACTCTGTGTCCCCTCCGTCTGTTTATTTGTACAGTTCTCTGTTTTTGGTTTGTCTTTGTTCTTTCTGTGGCAGTGGGATGTTGACCACATCACCCATCAAGGACCGATTGGTCCATACAAATATGAGTCCAGCCTCATACCTGGTGTGCTACTGATGTTTAAAGGGACCTTACTTTATTCTTTGGCAGTATGGGTTCTGTTGCTAGGACAGTTTACATTATCAGGTTTTCTCAATGTGTGTCCCTTACCCAGCTCCACTGTTTATCTGGCCTCTTGATTCACTGAAATTTATTTTAGTTTTCTCCATGTGCCACATTGACCGTTTACACACCTTTTAATCTATAATTATCAGTCTCAGACAGTTGTTACTTTGTCATTTTTAATTTTGAAGTGTGGGCACTTTTGAGTAATGTGGGAAGTGGGTAGTTAAGCATAGAAATTAGTTGACTTTTGACATTGTCACAATTAAGATTGTCTGAATTATCCCTTTTTGATAACTCCTTGGCTTTTCTCTTCATTATTCAAATAGCGTGTTTGGTACATTATGTGGTTTACAGCTAGGCTGCACTATCTGCGCCCTTGGCCAATTTCATCACGTCCTTATTTATATTTTAAAGACATGTTTGTTAAAGACAGTGCGTCATCTCCCCTACCGGAATGGGATCCCTGACCCCACACTGGGATGATAACTACTTAGTACCAAGAAGTACATGGGAGTAAAAAGTGTGTTTTAAATCAAAGAATGTGATATGTAACAATTTTTTTGGCCATGCAGGGAAGTTATTGATCACTAAAAGTTGATTTTCTTTTGTACAGACTCAGTTATAGAACATTGTTATCTATCAGTAAAAGTTGATTTTATTTAATATAGGGTAGTCATGCAGGGGAATTATTGATCAACAAAAGTTTATTTCCTTTTGTACATGATCATTTATAGGAAATAGTTGTTGGTTATGCTGGAAAATTCTTGATCAACAGAAGTTGATTTTCTTTGGTATAGGGCATTTAGAATGAAATATTTAAAAGGATTTTGGTTATACAGGTAAGCTCATCAGTACTAAAGATCAAATGAACAGATGGGCTAAATATTTTGAAGTACTCCTGAACAGACAAGCCCAGAGGTCTCCTGCCAATATCAGTCCTTTAGAAATGAAACTGGAAATCACATGTGAAATACCATCTAAAGAGGAAATTAGGAAAGTCAGTCTGCTGAAGGAAAGAAAGGCTGCTGGTCCAGATGGTACCCCAGCAGAAGTTATTACAGCCAATATAAACACATGTACAGAATTGCTACACAGATTATCCAGTAAAGTCTGGAAGACTGAAGAAATGGACCAGTTGAAGAGGAGGATATCTTGTGAAACTGCCTAAAAATGGTGACTAGCAGGATTGTGAAAACTATAGAGGAATTATGGTGCTGTCACTTCCTGGATGCAATATTAAGTAGAATTATTTGACAAAGACTGAAAGATGCCATTGGTGTATGTTATCAACAGTCGATGTTACTGCACATTGGGCATTTGCATGCATGCTAAGCCATCTGTTTCAGCTGCCATTTCAAGGTATCTCTACTGATTGGCCCCCACAAGGAGATGGCTATAATGACTCCTTTTATTTATTCCTCAAAGGTGACATAGATGTAAATCATCACTAAAAATTATGATTGTGTAAATCACTACCATAAAGTGTGATTTCATAAATCATCGCCATTAAGTGTGATTGTGTAAATCATCACTATTAAGTGACTGTATGTCACCACCACAGAGTGATTGTGGAAATTATCACCATTGTCTAGCTGACATGCTTGTAGGATCATGCTTTTTCATGTCATGGCAACACACACACAAATAACCAAAACAAACTCCTTTTTCTTTTTTATTTCTCCCTTCTTCCATGTTAATAGCAATATATGTTTTCTTTGCAGGTAACATTTTAGGCACAGCTAATTGATCTCATGATGGCTTCAGGAAATTCCAGCAACAGTTTTCAGGTTCTTTGTTATGAACAAGTAGCCAGATTGCATGAAGTCATGGAAGATGTCATCCCGATACATGGTCGAGGCAACTTCCCCACACTCAACGTGAAGCTCAAAGAGCTAGTACAAGTTGTCAAAGATAAACTCACAGAAGATGGAGTTAGTGTGCGAGACATTCGTTTAAATGGGGGGGCTGCCAGCTACATCCTCGGCACAACAAGTACACAGGAGTTCAATGATGTCGACTTGATCTTCGGAGTAGATTTATCCAATCACAATGAGCTTCAGAAGATTCGCAATGGTGTGCTTGGGTGCTTAGTCAACTTTCTTCCAGATGGCATCAATAAGGAGAAAATCAACAGCTGCAGTCTAAAGGAAGCTTACGTCCAGAAAATGGTGAAAGTCTGCAATGAACACGGGGATAGATGGAGCTTGATATCTTTATCACATAAAACACACAAGAATGTGGAGTTAAAATTTGTGGACAAAATGAAGCGCCAGTTTGAGTTTAGTGTAGATTCCTTTCACATTATTCTGGATAGTCTTTTGGCATTTTATGATATTTCTGAGGCCCCGATGACGGAACATTTCTATCCAACGATTGTAGCTGAAAGTCTGTACGGCGATTTCTCAGAAGCTTGGTATCACCTAGACAACAAATTGATTGCAACAAGAAATCCTGAGGAGATTCGTGGCGGGGGCCTGCTTAAGTATTGCAATCTGTTGGTTCGTGGTTACACACCAGCCAGTGAGGTTAACATTAGGACTATGGAGAGATACATGTGTTCTCGGTTCTTCATTGATTTCAGCGACATTAATCAGCAGCGGCAGAAGCTGGAGGCATATTTAGCAAATCATTTTAGTGGTGACGAAGACATGAAATACGAATACCTCACAACCTTGTATCGGGTGGTAGATGAAAGTACGATCTGCCTTATGGGTCACGAAAGGAGACAAACTTTAAACCTAATCCAACAGTTGGCGTATCAAGTCTACATGGCCCAGGAGCGGAAAGCACAAGTGAAAGTCATTGAGCTCCACCAGCTTGATCAACTCAACAACCTCGTCATTGACCAGGTTTTCTATGGGCCCTTTGATTCTAGCAGCATTAACAACCAATACTACAACTACCCAATGCCTTCATCAACATATCATCAAATCAGTAGCTCCTCATCGTGTCCTTACTGTCCACAGTTCCTTCACTGCTCTTAAAACAGTTGTGTACAACATTAGGTAGTCACCAATTTTTGCAACATAACATTTTTGTTGTCCATCATTACAAGGATGGTTTAGATGCACAAGTTGTGACAAATTAGGATCTGACCTCAGTTCCATATGGTCAAAATTGTTTCAAAGTTGAGTTTTTTCCCCACAGTGGAATTTACCCGAGCACAAAGTGTATTGTGTTTACAGTATTGTAATTTCCTTTGTTGTGTGTTTTATTGCAGAGTCTACTCTTTACACAATAGACAAAGAAAAGAGTTGCCGAGCCTTGATGTATACTAATATTCTTTAGTGTTTGAATTGTTTGATTCTGCTCATGCACCGCTCCCCGCCCGTGAAAGCTTATCTAGCTGAAGAGGCATGGAGTATTGTTTCATTTTCTTCCAGTACAGTATGTGTTGTTTTCTTGTATGGAATTATTACTGTGTTTAAATTGAATTACTGTATTTTTGATTTCTTTTAAAAAAGCCTTCTGTCTGGTGTTTAAATTTACTGTGATGAATGTTCTATATATAATTTATCTTGACATAAATATATATATATATTTATCTTTCAGCTTTTGTTATGGTAAATGTTAACTTGACGATGTTATCATCTTCGTTGTATCGAGATTGTGAATGTTACATGTCCCTTTGATGAAGTGATAGTTTTGTGAACACTGCTTCAAAAGGAACTTCATGTAAAGATTGTTAAAGGGTATATTTTTGCTGCTGATGTAATTTCTAATTTTATCCATGTTACCTATACATTCATCTAATAATAATTTCTAATTTTATCTGTGTTACCTATACATTCATCTATTTTTGCTCAGAAATAATTGTTCAAAGTGTATGGATCATATGCCTCATTTATCTGCTGGATAATCGTTTGAAAAAAAGTGCTTTCACATGCTCAGCTGGGTAATTCGTTTAATTTCTCTTTGTCTTACCCGGTTTGTCATCTTTGTGTCCAATCTGATAAGTTTAAGCAGTCATAAATTTCCATCTCATGGGATCATGGATCAGGTGTTATTGTCCCATATCATATGGTCAAGCCCGCCAGCCTGTTTTGTCCATTCTTCATGTAGTATCCCCATCATCATCATCATTTTCCATACCAATAAGTATAAGTGGGTAGGATTTGCCGTCTCCCATGATCACCAGAATTATGAATCAAGTCTGTGTTCTTGTCTCAGTCAGAAGTAGAAAACAGCCAGAACTTTTAGCCAGAGTGTACAGCCTTCAGACAGGAAGAAGCAGAAGAAGATTAAAATTGCTGATCATACATGGTGTGACCAGCTAAGATGAGATGTATCGCTTGGTGCAGAAAAATGAATAATGAAATACATCAGTATCGTTCCCAGCGATCAGGATGGAAGACATTGTAACCAACTTCTTATAGAAACAATCAGTATAGTAACCCTGGAGTGGCTGCTGTATCTGGGGACTGAGCACTCATGTGAATGTCCAATGGACAGTGATGTTGATTGTAATGACATAATAGAAAGATTTACATGTGAGCAGAAATTGCTGAGAGATACAAAACCAAGACAATAAAAAAAAATATTGCTTCCGATCCCTGTGGCCGAATTGGTGGTTGCCAATTCTGGATTGTATGTTGTAACTTTTTTGAATCCGCATTATCTGATTTTCTCCTCCGTATTGACCTCGCCTCCCAGGAAATAGATAGGAGGTAATGCTCTGACAAATAAAGGGCATGATGTTAACTACATCAACACCAATTGCCAGTTTGCATATAAAAATTTCAAACGCCACATACACGATGTGCCACTTGCATAAAAGTGCTGTTTCACTGTTTTAAAAAAAAAATTAAATGGTACCTTTTTTTTTATTACTACATTTTATTATTTATTTGAGAATTGGACAATGCTTGGAAGAATGTCAGCATAAGAATTGATACATGCTATTGAAGACTGTTTGATCTGGAGCAGTAGCTCTCAACCTTCCTAATGCCATGACCCTTTGATACAGTTTGTCATGTTGTGATGGCCCCCAAAGATCTAATTATTTTCATTGCTACTTCATAACTTCTATGAATGTGTGTTTTCCGATGATCTTAGATGACCCCTGTGTAAGGGTCGCGACCCACAGATTGAGAACCGCTGATTTGGGGAGACATGGTCACCATGTTAGACTGCAAGACACTTGATGATGTTAACAGTTTGCTGATTAAGCCAAGAAAGCTAAATGTAAAATATAGGGATCGTTAAGATATCCTAGTAAAACATGCTGTCTCAGCTTCTAATTTCCAGTTTTGGCTTGTAAATTTGTTCACATTATTCTGATTGTACATTGGCTATAAAGGAGCAGCTGGGCAAGCAGTTAGAGTGCTAGGGTATCACACAGGAGATCCTGGGTTTAATCCTCTGTACAGGATAGAGATTTTTTCTGCTGGGGGCAAAAATGACAATCCTAGCCTACTTTGTTCTTTGCAACTGCACTAGCCATGCCGAGACTCCAAACTGTCCTGCACCGCCCTAAAAGTGGTAAAGGCACTACATGGCCTATTTCCCTGTAACATTTATGTTCTTGTTAATATCTGGTCAAGGATTTTCTGTGATTGGATTTTATTCCCTTTTCTGGTACTTTATGTTGCTTGTTTTCTTCTGTTATCTCAAACTGTGATTGGCTTGTCACTCATACTTAAGTACTTTTAAATTTAAAAAAAAAAAAAGTAACTAAATATTTATAAATGGTTTAATGTACTAGTTTGATATGGTTATTGTTTTGCCAAATGTAACACTTGTCTCTGTGTTTCCCCAGTGTGATTTTATTTTATTTATACATAATAAATCTATGAGTTCAAGAGAAGTGAAGAAATAGGAGAAAGGTCTGGTTGATGGCTTGTGTCATCAGTTTTATGACAGATGGCAATTATTGGAGATGGCAATTTATCATGCACAACATGAGGAGAAATGGACAGGGAATCATCTACCAGGCAGTGAAATGGGGAAATGGATAGAGGACATTAGAATGTTGTTCAGGGAGACATGAATGCTGGACTGGATTTCATCCACGATATGGTGAGGATGGCAAAGAGGATACAACAGTATAAGGGACTAGATAGACTATGAGCTGTGTGTGATGTACAGCAGGATGATGAGGATGAATCAATCTACAGAATAAAGAAGCCACTTCTTCGGGATTCAATGCCATTAATACGTTGCCCGCCATTATCGTTTGTTCACACTTGGTTAGTGCAACTATGGTATGTTACAGGTGGCCGTTACAGCTTTACCTTGGCAACTGAAATGACAAATTACTTTATGCATTTGTCGTATGTTTATGGTTTTGATGATGTCTCAGCCTAATGTGTTCCCTTCACAGTAGAAAGATTGCGTAACAGTTGACCTGTTGTATATATAGCACAAACCAAACATTCTGAAGTAATCTATTACCATAACGATACTTCTTTTTTTTTCTCCTCCTTCTCATTCTTCCTCTTCTTCTTTTCCCGCTGTTCTTCTTTTCCTTCTCTTATTCTTCTACTGTCTCTTTTTCTTCTACCTTCTCTGCTGCTTCATTCTTCACCTGCTCATCTATGCTTTCCACATTGTCTCTAATTATACCCATGACATTCCTGTGCACTGTGTAGTCAAATGAAGCTGGGCGATGACTACTAACCTTATACATACTTTTGAAATGAATTTGAAACTTCACACGAAGACATTTTCTGTTGATCTGGTTAATCCTGTGCATCGCACCCTATTTCATGTGCCTAACAACTTCAACATTCGATTTCAGCAAGCATTTAATGGTCTTCATTTCTAGCCTTCCATTATCATTATCTAGATTTCCCTATAAAGAGGTAGTTTTGTATTTTTCTGTAGGCTGCTTGTAAACATTGACAAATCCTGTCATGAAAATTTACTAGTTGTTTTCGTCACCACTTTATTTGGTTAGTTGGTCTAAGTTTGAGGGAAGTCAAGTGTTCTTTTATGTATGTATTGGGCATCCTGTGAGCGACCAGGTACATAGTGTGTTTAACTCGTTGTTCAGGGCGCCTGATGACATTGTGTATATTCTAGCCTTTTTGAACTTCAAGTACGATATGATTTTACTACAGTTGTCACCGCAAAATGTAAACAGTTCTAAAACCACAGGATGTAGGCTGCAGTCTCTCGTGGGACTGAGACTGGGGCATTGGGACCAGTTCTAGATCTTCTGTGGTCATTAAAAGCGGTCACATTGTGTAATATAAAGCACACATCGTCGCCGGTGAGAGCATCATAGACAATACAACTTGACATCCCTGTAACAGAGAGTCGCGCTTGTAAAGGGTCAGCAAGCATGATCAAACGGCCAGTAATGATGTGCCTGGGAATGTTACTAGAACCGTCGTTTGCCATTGCATGCAGTTCACCTCATTTCTTTTCCTTCTTATTCACCTCATCCTCTAATTCCTTTCTCTGTGTGTTTTGTCTAACCTTACTTCTATGGTTTTGTGGGCTCTATTGTTGTCCTTGTCAATACCAGTATCTTTTCCCCACCTCTTAACTGGAATTTGTCCATTCTCTGACAGTAATTAGTAATTTTATTATACATTTAATGTGTTGTATGTTTACACAGGTACCAGCTAATGAACATTTGTAGCTTATTAGTAATTGTTTTCGTTTTTCTCCATTTTTCAGCTCCATTCTTCTCCTTCTCCTATGTTTGCCCATAAAAGGGCAGTTAGTATTTTGTGTTGTAGTTTACATCTAGGCTGCAGTGTTTGCACCTTTTGGCCCAACACATCAAGTCTCAGCAAAAAACGTATTAATCGCCTCTTACAACGTGCTTTTAAGGGGCAGTGGGTCTTCCCTCCCCTCCCCACTTTCAAAATCCAGATGGGGAGTTAGTTTGGCTGACATGAGTTTCAAGTTAGTTTCATATTTTGTACAGGATTTTGCCAGCCCCAGCTTTTAATTGGCAGTTCTGTTCAATGTTTTACGTTCAATTTGCCATTGCTTTCTCAGCGGGTTGCTGCTCATACCATTAGCACAATCA